CCCCAAAACCCCAAAACCCCAAAACCCCATTAAATAATTATTGCAAAATTAAGGTCCACAGTAATCATATACACATATAATCATATTATAATTCAAAATGATTTAATCGAAGGAACAAAACTTAAATGATCTATAGGCGCCTTTGCTTCAGAAAGAGGAGTAAATATCTGAAGTTAAAGGCTAAAATGGGGATTAAAGTATGAAAATAAGGTTTTAAAGTGTGGTCGGGCTGCTTTTTATGCTCGTTGCCGTGACTTTGCTTAGTTTATCGCATGTTTTCACTAAATAGCTCTTCTAATCATCAAGTGGAATCAATGTTTTGGAAGTACTAATTATTAGAGCCATTTTCTAAATAGTTCTCAACCAAATTCTGATATAGCTTCTAGGCAACATTAGCTATTTTAATTTGACAAGGGATCAAATCAAGAAACTTCTATGGAGATTCGGTCTAGGCTACTCATCTTGGGTTATGCAAATATACACGTTCAACTACTTACCACTGGGAACAATCTAGGTAATCTAAAACCTGACACCCTTTTTCTCAGCTATATTTGGGTATATTATTTTGAGGGAGACTTTGAAGGCGATAGAAGTAGTTAACACACTGATATCATTTTCTGGTGTAATATTTATTGTGGTATTGTCCTCGTAAGGCCAGAACACCCACGAATCTCTTAGAAATATTTCCTAGTTCTTGTTCATATTTTCAATCGTACTGAACTTTATCAGCGCTGTTATCAGTTCTTTAGTTGGAGTGGTTATTAGACAACTACGAGGAGTTCATTTCACTATGATTGCTGGATTTCAAGGGATATGCTCTGTTATAGTTTCCTCAATAGTCCTGACTATCTAGAAATTATGGGTCAGTCAAGAAGGATTTTAATATAATATGTCTTAGACAGACTATGTAAATGCTTTAGGACTTGGTATATTTGGAGCACTATCATAAATATGTTTTGTGAAGGCGCTTTTATATGATAAAGCTGGCAGATGTGCCAGTCTATTGCTCATGAATATAGTATATGGCTACTTATCTGATGTGCTATTTTTCAATTACGATATACAGATATTTGAAATTGTGGGTTCAAGTGTAATCATAGCCTGCTCTGTAGTAATCTTTGTTATCAAATGTTATTTTTACAATGACTGATATTTAATTGCATTAATTTGCTTAGTATTTTTTAATCTAAAGTATAAGATTCATGGGGTTTTGGGGTTTTGGGG